ATTATCTTAGTTTGATTTTGTGGTATTTTATTTAAAATTTGAATTACTACCCTTACTTCCTTTAAATATATTTTCCAAAATTTTTATATAGATAACAGAGTTGGAAACAGCCTGTCCACACTGGCAAAGACGACCACTAAATATCTTTGTAGTTTGCTGCTTATTGGTTATCTCGCGATAGCTCACCTCTTAAGCTAGTTTCTTATCTATGTAAATGAAAGAATTTAGATACTATTATAAAGAGACACCAAGATGTATTTCAAAGAGGGGAAGAAAAAGAAAGACAGAGCCCTAGCTGGTTTGGCTTAGTGGATAGAGCATCCGCCTGTGGACTAAAGGGACCCATGTTCGATTTCGGTTAAGGGCACATGCCCGGGCTGTGTGCTTGATCCCTAGTAGGGGGGCATGTAGAAGGCAGCCGATCAATGATTCTCTATCATCATTGATGTTTCTCTCTCTCCCTCTTCTTTCCTCTCTGAAATCAATACAAATATACTTTAAAAAAGAAAAGAAAATAAGACAGAGACAGAGAGCATGCAAGAAACTGTATGTATAGGTAGAAGACTTGGAGAAGTAGAAACGAGTTATTGCTGGTTATCTCAGTGGGGTTATTGGAAACTTACTTTTGCTTAAACTCTAAATTATGTAGTGTTTACTTTTAGAATAACTTTAAATGACTCTTGTAATTACAAAATCAACAAAAATATAAGAGTTATATAAAATCATTTAAACTTTAAGATTTTTATAAAACCTTGGCTCTTTTATTCTAAAGATATTTGAAAACAAAACTAGTGTGTTATAAGTTTAATAGACTGTTTTAGGAATCTTTATATGTGGAGTGTGACATATTTGATGATAATGGAATTAAATTCTAACCTATTAAGTTTCACATTATTTTATCAAGTAGCCAAAAATTTTAGAAGATTTAAAAAATCTTATATAATTTCAATTCGGTTCTTAATGACTGCTAATCTTTCAGAAATGTTAATGGAGGTACTTGGGGTCTCAAGAAAATGTGATGAGGTCCTCAAAGCATAATAGTGTGACGGAATTTAAAGGTAAAAGAGAGGACAGGAGTGTGTGTGTGTGTGTGTGTGTGTGTGTGTGTGTGTGTGTTCACACAAGTTGTGGGGGAAAAGACAGAAAAGTCAGAGGAGATAATATTTGTGAAAAAAATGAAGTGAATAATAAGTGAATGATATTTTCTTCTCTTTATTTATCAATGCCTTAACACCGACCCAACCCAACAAGATTGGATTCCAGGGTATTTTTTTTTTATCTTAGACCAAAGATTTTTCTTTCTCTTGTTTTTTTGTCACCGTATAGAAACAGGTCAGTGATGGTTGCCTTATTATAATTATTACTTCACAGATTAAATATGCTTTTTTGTCTTAGGAGATTTTTAACAACTTGAGGGCCCTAGCAAAGCTGGCCATCACACTATGTGGTTTGGTAACGACATTGTGTGAGAACTTACTCTCCCAGAACTTAAACTGGAACTGTTGAATTTTTTATCTCTTAAGACTGAAAGGAGAAACGACAATCCTATTGCTCATTATAAAGTACATAGTTCTACCATTTTTTTAAAAAAAAGCTATAGAAAGCGTTAAAAATTCACCTATCAGTTAAGCAACATGCTCCATTCCAGTTCATTTTATATCTTGACTATTTACCTCTTGTTTAAAGAAAGTACTTTGTTATATATTAATCAGAACATAGACCAAAAAGTTGTCAGTTGAAGAAATATTTTCAGTGAACTGTCAACAATTTGAGTGACTAATTACATCTTAAGTATGGAATGTCAGTGAATACAGTAAAGTTTTAGGTTCTCTAGAGGAGCAACAATGTCTAATCAAGACCTTTAGAGTGCTATTTGTAATTTTGTATTAGATTTTATCAGCAAAATATGTAATTTTAGGCTTGCTGGAAACAGGTTAAGAATCTTTGTAGCAGATAAGACACATGCACCATATACTAGGCCCTTAGAACCTTATGTGATTTAACCATTTATTCTTTTCTTGTTTTATTCTCATTGAGTCATCCAAACATGTAATATACTTTCAAAGATAGTTTCTTAATCCTACCTAAGCAACACCTTGTTTTAATTTTCTGTTGATGACATAATATTAAGTTAAAGTATATGAAAGTGCCAACATTTGACCATTTTCTCCTGCAAAATGGTATTTCATAAGGTTCATTTCATGGCAGAACCTCATAAAGTACATTTTATGACAGAACATTATTAAAAAACTTATAAAATACAATAAAATATAAATAAGGACATTAAAAAAACACACCACAATCCAATACCACTGTTGGTATTTTTGGTATTTTTCATTTCAGTGTTTTTCTCCCCTTTACATATGTATATAAATGAAATTTGTATTACACTGAACCTAGGGGTTTGTATCCTGTCTTTATTATTTAACTTGATACCATAGACATTTCCCTGTGCCATTATATATCTGAAAACATAATTTTATATGTGTGTATACATATTATAGTCTATCATGTGGATATACCAGAATTTTGATCCATCCCTTAAATAGACATTTAATGTAATATTTTACTATCATAATTAACATTTGGATAAATATCCTTATAAAACTTTGTGTATATCTCTGATTATTTCATTAGGATGGATCCTAAGTAGTGAGATTCATCCGTAGTGTTTCAAATTTTTAAAGATTTTATAACATATTAATTACTTTTTAAAAAATTTAAATTCTTTATTGTTGAAAGTATTACATATGTCTCCTCCCCCCCCCCATTGACCTCTCCCTGGCAGCTCCCCAACCCAGCATGTGTCCCCACCTTGTACTGTCTGTGTCCTTTGGTTATGCTTATATGGATGCATACAAATCCTTTGGTTGATCTCTTAACCACCTCCCACTTCCACCCTCCCCTGCCTTTCCTCTGAGATTCAACAGTCTGTTCGATGCTTTTATGTCTCTGGATCTATTTTAGTTCATCAGTTTATGTTGTTCATTATATTCCACAAATGAGTGAGATCATGTGATATTTATCTTTCTCTGACTGGCTTATTTGGTTAGTATAATGCTCTCCAGGTTCATCCATGCTGTTGCAAATGGTAAGAGTTCTCTCTTTTTTATAGCGGAATAGTATTCCATTGTGAAGATGTACCACAGTTTTTTGCATATATCCTTTCTGATTGGTGTTTCTGGTTTCTTGGGATATATTCCTAGAAGTGGGATTACTGGGTCAAGTGGGAGTTCCATTCTCAACTTTTTGAGGAAACTCCATACTGTCTTCCACAGTGGCTACACCAGTCTGCATTCCCACCAGCAGTGCAGGAGGGTTCCTTTTCCTCCACATCCTCACCAGCACTTGTCTTTTGTTGATTTGTTGATGATAGCCCTTCTAACAGGTGTGAGATGGTATCTCATTGTTGTTTTGATTTGCATCTCTTGGATGATTAATGACTGAGCATGTTTTCATATGTCTCTGGGCCTTCTCTAAGTCCTCTTTCGAAAAGTGTCTATTTAGATCCTTTGCCCATTTTTTGAGTGGATCGTTTATCTTCCTTTTGTTAAGTTGTATGAGTTCTCTGTGAATTTTGGAGATTAAACCCTTACCTGAAATAGCATTGGCAAATATGTTCTCCCAGGCAGTGGACTTTCTTCTTGTTTTGTTGATGGTTTCTTTTGCTGTGCAGAAGCCTTTTATTTTAATGTGTCCCATTTGTTTATTTTCTCCTTAGTCTCCCTTACCCTAGGAGCTGTGTCTATAAAGACATTGCTATGACATATGTCGGCTATTTTGCTGCCTATGGAGTCTTATAGGATTTTTATGGTTTCCCGTCTTACCGTTTGAGTCCTTTATCCGTTTTGAGTTTATTTTTGTGTATGGTGTAAGTTGGTGATGTAGTTTCATTTTTTTTGCAGGTAGCTGTCCAGTTTTCCCAACACCATTTATTGAAGAGAGTGTATTGCCTCCATTCTATGCTCTTGCTTCCTTTGTCAAATATTAATTGAGCATTATGGCTTTGGTTAATTTCTGGGTTCTCTGTTCTGTTCCATTGGTCTATAAGTCTGTTCTTGTGCCAGTACCAGGCATTTTTGAGAACAGTGGCTTTGTGATACAGCTTGATCTCTGGTATTGTGATCCTTCACCTTTTTTTTCTTCTTTCTTAGGATTGCTGCAACTATTCAGGGTCTTTTTTTATTCCATATAAATTTTTGGAGAGTTTGTTCTAGGTCTGTGAAATATGCTGTTGGTCATATTAATCACTTTTAAGAAAGGAAATTCCCATTTACATATGACCCTCCACATTTATATACCCACAGAAGGAGAAACCTCATAGCTCACTATGCCCTCACCAACAACCAATACTGTTTTTAAAAAATAATAATTGGCCCTAACCAGTTTGGTGTAGTGGATAGAGCGTCGGCCTGTGGACTGAAGGGTCCCGGGTTCGATTCTGGTCAAGGGCATGTTCCTTGGTTGCGGGCACATCCCCAGGAGGGGGTGTGCAAGAGGCAGCTGATAGATGTTTCTCTCTCACTGATGTCTCTCTCTATCCTCTCCCTTCCTCTCTGTAAAAAATCAATAAAATATATTTTTAAAAAAATAATAATTGGTTAGTGAATAATGACATTCTTGTTTAATTTACATATCTTTGATTATAGGTGAGGGTGAACATTTGTTTCATATTTTTAATGGGGTATTTGTTTCTTTATTAATTTTCATTTCGTGATCTAGGCAAATTTTTAAAAGGAAGACAAATTCTGGTTGATTTAATAAGGTTATTCATATTTTGTTTCATTCCACTGTCCAGGGGAGACTTATAACGGTAAATATGAGAGTAAAATATTTTAACTTTTGCAAATGGAAAGGGAGGAAGAAATAGTACCATTTGCAAGTCTCAACCTCTAATGATTAGAATGCCCATAATCGAAATAACACAACCTAGACCATGACATCCACAAGGAAGGGTGTTGACGGGTCTTATGTATTTTTATGTTCTCCAGTACAGAGCCCAGTGACTGGCACTTCCAGTGTGGAACAAGAATAAGTGTGCAACAACTGCGCTCTGGAACTTCTGGGATGGAGAATTGCTAGATGGTGTGCGTACTCCCTGGCCTCCTTCCATCCCCCAGTACCCATCTCCTGTTCTCAGTGTGTGGCCATTTAGCTCTGCTCTCTTGGTTGGCCTCTGTATGGGAGCTAACGAGGCCAAGGTCAGAGGTTCTATCTTCATATGACCTATTTAGCTTTGTTTGTGTCATGGCCACAATCTGTATTCTTTTCACTGTGGCCAGCTGACATAGAAATGCATGCTGTTCATCACAAGGGAGAACAGGCTAGAAGGGGGCAGATTTCTAGAGTTAGAAGGACCCTGAAGAACCTTTCATTCAACCTTCTTATTTTTTTCCCCCCAGGGGAAGAGACTGAAGTTCAAACAGGTCCTTCCCTTTTCTCTTGTGAAGTGTCTCAGGGTCAATTCAAAATAACAGATATGTATTGAGCAACATGAAGACATAGAAATTTATCCCTACAGTGAGTGGGTGGGCAACTGAACTCTATGCTTAAATGCTGATGGATTGTTAACACTTTCCTAAATCCCTTCTATGTGAATATAAATGTTACGGCTAATATTTAAAGAACTTAGCAATCTATCACAATAAGATTACTTTAAATAGTCTCATTCAGGTCTTTGGAAGGGACAAGTAATCTGATGAAGATCCATTTGAAAATGATTTTGGGAAAGAAAATTTTGTGGGAATTGGTTGGTTAAATGAAAATCAAATTACTTGTCATCTTCTCCGGCCAATAATTATTTCTGACTTCTATATTTCTCCTAATGAAAAGACCATTATCTTACTCACCAAGACTCAAATTCATTTTACTTCTTCCCTTAATAATTACTCTTCTTATTTCTTTATTTCTTAACCATCTCCTGCCACTCCTACACATTACAATAGAAGGGATTTGTAACTTCTTGTCTACACATCTATTCTTGGTCTGGCCACTTCAGTCCACTTTCTTGCTACATTCTTTGTGGAGCAGCCTTACCCTTGCTTGCCCAAACCCTTTGTGGTTTTCCATTATCTGCTCAAATAAAGTCCAAATTCTATTAATGATGTAAATAAGAGTGGCTATTTCTATATAGATAATTTTTTTCTTTTAGAATTCATTTTTTTCTGAAAGTTACTCCTCTTTCATTTAGCAGAGATATCATTTGTCTGGTTTTTCAGATTCACATAATAGGTTTTATGATGGCTCCATGTTACTGACAAGGACCCTGAAAATTCAAATGATGGGAGAGGTCTGCTTAAGGTCCTGAAGCAATTGCATGGCATATTTGTGAATTACGTGTATTCAGAAATTAATACTAGTATTGCCATTAAGGCATTACAGTCAAGTGAGGCATCGACCCTGTGCATGTGTGTGCACGCACGTGTGTGTGTGTGTGTGTGTGTGTGTGTGTGTGTGTTTGGTGTGTATAAGGAAAGAAGTATCTAGAAGAGCCATTCTAATCCCAGAGAATAAAGGAGATTTTTTTCTTTTTAAATATACAGTTTTTCAATTTAATGTCACCATGCTTTCTATCTTTTCTTGTTTATGCATTATTTGGTAAAGTGGGAACTTTTGTTGCTATATAGAAAGATGAGCCTAAAATAGTAGCATGGGTTCTGAAGCTAGCTGACCCTTACTTGATCTTGTATCTGTACTTATAAGCGGTGTAACCTTGGACTCACATATGGGACTTTCATAGGTATATCCAGAAGTATGCTGGAGTATAAGATGAAATAAAGTGTTCCAAGCAACTAACAGAGCATCTAGCACATTGCAGATGTTCAATGAATGGTTGATGTTATTGTCTTCCATATGTGCTGCTATTTTGAGCTTATAGAGCAGTCACTTTCTGCTTTGTATGTAGAGAGTTTATTGGTACAGGGGAGGATAAATTAACCATGAATTGGAAGATATTCTTGATGAATTTGTTATGCATTGACCAGAGAGTATTTTGAGCATTTTACCACCTATCACAAGTATCTTCAGGGGGGCAAAAGTAATAGAATATAAACCTACTGATGTTATAAATCAATCAGAAAATCTACCAGAGGCAAACTTGGCTGTTTAGCACTGTTATTCCTCCACCTCATCTCCTTCAAACCACTAGAATTAGAGACTGCATGTAATAAGCATTTCTCTTTGGGTGTCATCTCATGAATTTAATTTAATTAAACCAGTCTCATAGAGTTAAAAAAGAGAATTGTGGGTTGAGCTCTGTCTTCCCACCCAGCTCAGTGTTACTTGTTTTTTGTTTCATTCACTATTTCTTCAATTATGCTATAAGTTTCCAAGCGTGTAAGTAGCATTTTAATAACAAAATAGAAAAAAAAGTTTGCATTTATCTTATCCTTTTGTGTGTGCATTGTATACTCAGCACAGAATCTTTCTTCCATAAAAAGAGAATTTTTATAAATCCAGTGTTTCTTCTTTATGTAGCAGTTGACCCTTGAAACTATGGAGGTTAGGAGTGTTAGGGGTGTTGAAAATCCAGGTATAAGCCCTAGCTGGTTTGGCTCAGTGGATAGAGCATCAGCCTGCGGACTGAAGGGTTCCAGGTTCAATTCCGGTCAAAGGCACATGCCCAGTTGCAGGCTCGATCCCCAGTAGGGGGCGTGCAGGAGGCAGCCTATCAATGATTCTCTGTCATCATTGATGTTTCTATCTCTCTCTCCCTCACCCTTTCTCTCTGAAATCAATAAAAATATATTTTGAAAAAAAGAAAGAAAGAAAAAAAAAGAAAATCCAGGTATAACTTTGTATCCCCCCAAAGATTTTACTAATAGCCTACTGTTTACTGGAAGCTTTACTGATAACATAAACAGTCAATTAAGACATAGTTGGTATGTTATCCTATATAATAAAGAGCTAATATGCTAATTAGGCCAGACAGCAGAACGACCTTCTGGAACGACCAGTGGGTGGGGGGCGGGGCTGCAAGGCAACCGGGGCCTCCACCCTTTGCAGGGCGATCAATGGGGCAGGGGGGAGGGGCTCTGCAATCGATCACCCCACAGAGGGTGGCGGCAGTTGGGGCTGTGAGGGCTGAGCCCCTTGCATGAATTTCATGCATTGGGCCTCTAGTATGTATTATATATTGTATTCTTACAATAAAGTAATCTAGAGAAAAGACAATGTTATTAAGAAAGTCATAAGGAAGATAAAAATATATTTACAGTACTTATTGGAAAAAAATACACATATAAGTGGGCCTGCAAAGTTCAAACCCATGTTGTTCAAGGGTCAACTGTACGGTCCTAAAAAGTTTGTTTCAACCAAATGTTTGTTTTGCTCAACCCAAGTTGTACAACCAAGCAAGACATTTTCTGAGTGGGTGGCTGGGCCTAGCTCTGATTTATTTCTAGTTAAATCAAGTAATACCACAAATTCCATTAGAGATTACTATCCTAATATCCTAAAACTTCTAGAAGCCCCATAGGTTTCCTTGGAATAAGTGGCAGCCCATCTATTTTACACATGAGAAAACTGAGGCTTGGAAGTTAAGTAAATTGACAAAGGCCACTTATGAAATGAAAGCCAGGATGGAAACCTAGGTCATTTTGACATCAAAGTGCTAGCTTTTTCTTCTTACTGTGCTCTGCCACCCTCTCTACATTTGTGTAGGACAGCAGTTTTTAACCGGTGCACCATGGCAAGCACACTGATGTGTCTGCCACAAGGAATTTTCAAACATGCAGTACCTGACTCTTTTCCCTTAGATTGTCAAATAAAAAAATGACAACAGCCAACACAACAATAGCCATCTGGTATGAATGAATCAAAATTATACCTACTTTTTTATTATCCGATCGGCAAAAAATAGAATTTATTTTTTGGTGTGCTGCAGAATTTTAGTAATTAGTTTATGTGTTTCATGACATAAAAAAGATTGAAAATCACTGATGTAGGAGAAAGTCTGCAATCACCTTCCACTGAGATGAGAAGAAACAGCTGAACACACGCTACCCAGAGAACTAGATCCATTAGCATAAGTGTCCCTTTGAGTAGGCTGTCAGCTCTTCTTGTGGTGCTAGAGTTTTTAAACGGCTTTATAAGTTTTGTCTTTGAAATGATGGAGTTTAGGGATATAAGCAAGATTATAGTAGGGAAACATGAAAAGAACAAAAGTGAAATCAAAAGAAACAAAAAACTGTGTCTTGACTTTTTTAAACCAAAGAAAGAAGAATAAAGGTGGCAGCATTGCATAACCATTTGCTTCCAGGGACCTGTGACTTCCCTCTGCTTCTGCAGTTCTGGTTGCTCTTCTGCCAGTGACGAGGTGTTCCCTGGCCTCAGGTGTCAAGCTGCTGGTAGGTCATAGGTGGAGTCAGCAGAGGACAGTACTTTCCCTTAGGGCAGCGGTTCTCAACCTGTGGGTCGCAACCCCTTTGGGCGTCAAACAACCCTTTCATAGGGGTCGCGTACGACCAGCCGTGGGCAAACTACGGCCCGCGGGCCAGATCCGGCCCGTTTGAAATGAATAAAACTAAAAAAAAAAAAAAGACCATACCCTTTTATGTAATGATGTTTACTTTGAATTTATATTAGTTCACACAAACACTCCATCCATGCTTTTGTTCCGGCCCTCCGGTCCAGTTTAAGAACCCATTGTGGCCCTCGAGTCAAAAAGTTTGCCCACCCCTGCCTAAGACCATCGGAAATCACATATATAATTACATATTGTTTTTGTGATTAATCACTATGCTTTAATTATGTTCAATTTGTAACAATGAAATTGGGGGTCACCACAACATGAGGTACTGTATTAAAGAGTCGCGGCATTAGGAAGGTTGAGAACCTCTGCCTTAGGGAGATTCATTTCTTTTTCTGTTCTTAAGGATAGGAAAGTATTTACAATTAGTAGCTATGCTTTTTCTTGGGAAGAACATTTCTGATGTGATAGAACAGCTGTATTTGCTGTTGAGAACAGAGCAATGAACTTATTAGATCAAGGAATTTCTCATAGGTTGATAAGGTCTTTGAACTTGCTGAAATTTCAGAGGTCATCTAGTCTAGCCCCCAACCGGCGTAGGAATGATTTTCATAATAGTGTTTTTCACACTGTAGGTTATGACAGACTAGAGCACCATGAAATTTTGTGGGCGGTGACCATAATTTTTAAAAGTGTAATAGAATAGAAAGTGTTATAGAACATGTTAAGATGTGAGGGTGCATACTTCTTTAATGTTTTGATTGATGTGCAGCCACATGCTTTCAATGGGTGGTTGTTGAAAGAAAACAGGTTCCAAATCCATTCCCTCCACCTCTGCTTAAGAACCTCCCAGCTGGGAACTCCCCACTTTGAGAGGCAGCGGTGCCTTCATGCTTGTTCTTGTGGTAAATGTTTCTCTTGCATCAAATGTCTCTAGATATTCACAGCATGAACATGACATTTACAGTGTGCTCATTGTCTCCTGTCATTGTGTCCGGGCCCTGCCAAGGCTAGAAGTCCCTTCCTTACTTGAGACTGTAACTAGGTGCATTCACTGCCCTAACCACGCTTACTAGATGTTCCACAATGAGTATTTGGTACAAGGCAACAACAAAAAAGTAGCAAAGGAAAAATGTCTTAAATTAAGTGGCTGGAAAATCACCCTTACAGGTGATCTTACTGTGCAGATCTACCCTGAGGTGGAGGATTTTTTTGGGCCTAGAAGCAATCTTCCAGAAGCCTTCCTGACCCCTTGAGACTGGGTAAGGGTCCCTTCTACATCATCCTGTTCTTATCTCTGTCACAGTGCTATGACACTGGAGAGGTGGCTAGCTTCTGCCACTAATAAATGCATATGCCATGTTTTGTTTGCCTATTTTTCAACAGTCTCTACAGCAAAACAATAAGATTCTCAAGGGCAAAAAGCATGTCTTATTCATTATTATACTTTTAGTGCTTGGTGCATTGTAGGCACTCAGGAATTATGTGCTAATGTTTTGGACTATATGGAATAGCTTTTACTGTTTTAAGTGACTTGGATGGAAATTGAAGTCTGTTCATAAAAGACAAGGGATGGGTGCTAGAAAGCAGTCATGACTTTGCAAATCAAGAGTGACATCCAAAGGATACCAAAGGAATTAGGAGACGGTCCAAACTACATGATTAAAGTTAATAGCTAATGTATAAGATTTCCATAAGGCAAGTAATCCTTGAGAGACAAACTAGAGCTATTGTAACATAATAAACCCACAATCTTATATTTGTGTGCTGATTTCCACTTTTACATATTCTTATTTGGCCCCCAAAACAATCTGGTGAGACAGGAAGATAGTGGCATCACCATTTTGCAGACCAGAAAACTGAGGTTTGGTGTGGTTAATGACTTGCTTGCTAAGGGATCATAGCTGGTGCTGGCATCAAAAGGATCACACCTAAAACAGCACTGTTTGAGCTGTACATATTCCTGCCAAGTTGTGAAATCTGCTGTTATAATAACTGATATTTATCCTTTTTAGTGTGTCTTTCCAGCAACCCTTTGAGGTGGTGGATGGGTGATCAAATTAAATGCTGTTGATGTAGAGTGCGGGTATTTCAGGATTGGAAAAAAACTTTAGAAGGGGCCAACTTTTAGTCCAGCAACTCATTGGATACCTGGCTTCTCCTTAGCCACCCAATGTCCCCTCCTGGTGGCCGCTATAATTGACGTGTTAGTGAGGTGGCTCATTTCATCTTAAGTAGATAAGGATGCTGAAGAAAGTAAGCTGAATATGACAGAGATTAGAGGAGTGGATCCCAGCCTTCCTAATGCCGTGACCCTTTAATACAGTTCCTCATGTTGTGGTGACCCCCAACCATAAAATTATTTTCGTTGCTACTTCATAACTGTAATTTTGCTACTGTTATGAATCTTAATGTAAATATCTGATATGCAGGATGTATTTTCATTGTTACAAATTGAACATAATTAAAGCATAGTGATTAATCACAAAAACAATATGTAATTATATATGTGTTTTCCGATGGTCTTAGGCGACCCCTGTGAAAAGGTCGTTCAACCCCCAAAGGGGTTGCGACCCACAGGTTGAGAACCGCTGGATTAGAGGAACAGGGTGACTGTTCAGCAGTCTGTGTCTGCTGTTTAGGGTAGGCATGAAGATGAGATAGAAGCCCAGGCTCTGAGTTGGGATTGAGAAAGTAAAGAATGTGAGGCAAAGGGTTCGATGGTGACTGGGAGCACTTATTTGGGTTATGGGGCCTATGGGTCATCCCCTCCTCTCTTTTCCTCTCCCGGGGGCTCCAAGTCCTGCATGCTGAAGCTGACACACTTTGTACTCCTGCTCCCCACAAACTCTGGCCTCTGTGAGATGAAAAAGTTAGGACTTTCCAGTAATCAATATGCTTTTGTTATCAGACCTATTGGTCAAGTTATGGCTCTTAGGGGTTTGAATCTTTAAAAAATGTTTATGGCTTGACCTGGGTTGTCTTGCCATTTAAGGGTTTGCTAAATATAATTGTCATACAGACATAGCCATAATGGCCCAACTTACCTAACCCCAGAAGGAAAATAAGTCACATACATGTTTGTGAGACTCACTTCTTACCACTCCAACAATGGACTTAACAACCAACTCTGTGGTGGACACTGGCCTGTCCCTCAATCTATGTGATGGTTAGTTGAAGTGCAGTGCACTTTGCTTTTAAAGAGCCTGACATAGCAAGAGAGAGAAACGGTGAGTGTCACAAGACCTACTAGTAAACTCTAACTTTAACTGTGGTGCTGATTTGATCGTGACATTGAGCCAATGAGTCTGGGGACCTTGGTCTAGGCTACCGGGATTCTGTTATGTTAGTTCTTTACTACTGAAATAATTGTACCCCAAATCTAGTTTAAATGTCAGTTCACCCTCTTGTACACATGCACACGCCGTTTATCTAGTGAACTCCTAATCATTCTTCAAAACTTACCTCAAATGTCCCTATCTCTCATTTGGGAATTCACTCAACAATTATTTATTGAGAGCATATTATGTGCCAGATTCTGAGGGTGTAGCATCAAACAAAACAAAGACCCTACCTTCCTAACCTTGCCTCTATGTCCCCATAGTCCTGTCTGTAATGGAATCTCTTTCCTTTGCAGCCTGTAGTCCAGTGACTTATTTGATTGAATGAAAGGACAAGTGCTTGCCTCTCCGGTTCTTCCATTTCTGTCTAAGTGAATGACCCAAGTAGTACAACTCCCTAAAATACATGCAGCAGTAGTGTCAGGGATGGCAGAATTGCTATGGAGATTTTTCTACTGGTGCAGCAACTGCCAGAGCTTGTCAACCTCACATAACATATAGGAATCTCATAGGAAAGTATAGCTTTCCAAAGTCTCATACGCTCCATGCTGATAACCGAGCCTTTGCTGCTGCTGGAATCCAGCATGTGGTGAGGAGGAAGGACATGCGCAGTCAGAAGAATCATATGCCTCACTAAGAATCCCCACCGACAGGAAGCACACGCGTCTCCTTTCACCTGCACACGGGCAGCAGGCATTTCCTGGCCATTGTTCGAGGGGCCGCTGCGATGCTATTTCCGTCCACCAGTGAAGTGGGGCTGGAGCTGGCCAGCTCTTAAAGGCCTGGCCTTGGTATGCTTCTTGCCCAGGCCAGCATCACAACATCTGGGGAGCCAGATTCAGATTCATGTGATCAAACTACCTTCCACCCTATTAACAACAAGAAGACTTAGGAAAGAAGATTCTTTTGTATAAAAAGAAACATGGCAGCCCCATCTGCTTTCAAAAAACACATGCTTTCAAGAAGGTTCCTGCCCATTCTTTTTTTTTTTTTTTGTACTGTGGCCTGAGGACAGTTTATTCTGGGAAGTAGCTGCCGTGAATTCGTGTACCATGGCAGAACTCAGATGTGGACACCACTGGCCCAGAGATGTAGAATGTTTCCCCATGATTTATTGGGGAGAAATTTGATTCTTAAAAGTTTAATGTGGGGAGAAGTTTGGGATGGTACAGTGGGTTGGGTGTGTATGCTTGATAAGGGTGTCATGTGTTTTCTTATTATGAGCCTCAAAACTTAAGATCTGTTTTCAGCAGCTGGTTGACCTCCCCGGGGCAGCTGCGCTTGCTCAGTGTATCATGCTCGAGTATGTCATGGCTCCATGTTGATTAAAGGTCCCATTCTGCCCTTTTAGAGTGAAAGGTATGTCTAAAGAATGAAAGCAGAGAAGTATAATAAGATTGAGCTGGACACTAGTAGTTTCTGTTTTTAGAAATACCAAGTAGTAATTGCAGCTTCTGAGTCTGTATTTATTTTGTCCTCTCTCGTTATGCCTGTTGTTTTCAGATGACTGGGGCAAGGGATGGTGGACACTGTTAATCATTTCATTGCTCAAACACCATTCTGGACTCCTCTACAAGAGGCAGTCATCCGACGGGTCCCCAGAATAAGCACCACACCCTACAGAGCCCCTGCTCATCCACGTTCTCCACTTGAATAAGACAGAGAATCATTTCAGGCAGCAATCCCCATCCCTACACCTTCTGTGCAGGAACTGTGCTGCGTTCATAACCAGGGTCTAGTTCAGGATGAAGGAGGAGGTGGTATCAGATGCGGCTGCAGGGAGAATTAGCGAGTCCTCACGAACACTTTCTATTGTCCCCTCAGTGTGGGTTCTGCCATGATGACCGTTCCAGTCGCTGATCTTGGATGAGGCCAGTACATTATGTACAGTGTAGAAGACCTCCTGATTTCTCATGGATACAAGCTGTCAAGAGATCTTCCGGCACCACATGAGGGTCGCCAGCCAGCAAGGGCAAGAGAGAGAGTGGGTCATGGCTTGCTGAACGGATGTGAGGATGCCCCTACTGCCTTCCCACACAGTAAGGCGTCCCAGGGGACAAGACATGTGAGTGATTCTGAAAATGAGCACCATGCACTGAGAGCCCGAGGAGAGCCCCAGAGCGCCTCTGCTGCCAGGATGTCTGAGGAGGGGTAAGTGTGCACCCACCATGTTCTTCCGACTTGGGGTTTGGCAGTAGGTATGTAATAAAATCCTCCACTCCTTATAATTGGCTGGGGTCAAGGGGCATGGGCTGAGGGACAAGAACACTGCTGTCCGTTGAGGTACTGGGATGTTCCAGTAGCACTGAGCACACGGCTGGTCCATAGTAAGCCTTCAATAGGCAGTGGTGAGGAAACAAATTCTGTCCTACTAAATACTGCATTTCAGTACTCAGCTTCTCTGTTCTCTTGTAATTTCCTGATATTGCCTCAGCTAGGAATCATTTAAAAACTCTGTAAAAGCTAGTTTATGTCAGGCACACATTCCTAGTACTTTAGGCTTTCTTACTAATATGTTTCGGTATTTGGTATACAGAGTTGAAAGAGGTTTGTGTTCCCCTCCGTTTGTGAAGAAGAACACCTTTCTCCTTATGTGTCCATATAATTCCACTGGCTCCCGACCCATGTTTCCCTTGCACACATACTGGCCCCAGTGTGGGTCCCATCTGAATATAGCTGCATCTATGGGTGTTTGCTTACACCAACAGAAAGGCCGGGTTGGCTGGGGGAATAGGAGGGTTAAAAAAGAGGGAATTTCGGCAGCTTGCCACAGAGCCAGCATGGGAGAGGAGCCCTGCAATCTCATCCAAGCCATTTGGACCTAGAGGAAACCTTTGTCATCACTTCATAAAACTGTTTGTCTTTAACGCTGTGTTGAGACCAGGCTCAGACCAGGGAAGGAGGGCTCTGCCTGTATTGAGCATCTTATGAAATTGTATGCAACTGGCAAGAAATGGACCTGTCTTTAAGGGAAACAAACAAGTACCCAGAAAGGGGAGTGAAGTAGCCTTTAATGATTAGAAGCCACCTTTTTACAGAAAGGATCTTTTTTGTTTGTTGATAGCTTTCAGGCAAAAAGTGGGAGGAATTTTGTTCTTATAATTCAGAGCATCTGACACCTTGGTCATTAAGTAAAAGTGAAGGTGATCACACTCTTCATGCCCATGGTAGTAAAAGTAGGTTTGTGTGGACAAGTCAGGCCATTTCTCTGGTTGAAGGGAAGAGTTATCATTGATGGAACCAGGTCAGGGGGGGACCCAGAATGGAAAAGAACTTGAAACTATTTTCATATAACCTTCCCCTTCACAAATCACACTTGTGTCCATTGCTCTCTTGAGCTTAAGTCTCTTTTGATCCATGTTCCCTGAACTTTGGAAGAGGGTGCTTATGGATGAGTTGTCTGAGAATTAGGCCAGCTTAGCTACTATGACACAGATTTGCATATCTGTATGTTCTACCTTGTATTTCAGGGTCCAAAGAGCTTGTTACAGTGTTGGGCATACAAGGCATTTATTGTATGCTCATGGATTCAGTTCATTCTTCCCACCATTGTAACAACCGTTGAGAAGCAGACAGCTCAGTTTCTAATGAGGTACTGACAGTGGCTGTGGAATCCGTGGAATGCATGGCTGTGAAATGCACGTGCCATGTAGGCTGTGTGCGGTCTCCCCCAGTCTTGAAGGTCTAGATCAGAGATGAGAGTTGGGTCCCTGAGTGGGAGGTAATAGAATCCCCTTTAGACTTCTGTGTGGGCAGTGTGGCTCCCAACCTTGTCCCCAGATTTCTCAGGACTTTCTAGCCCCTATGTGATAGCAGGCTCCTGGGGATCTCTAGGTGTCTGGGCATCACCTGATCTGCCAGAAGTCTTTCCTTCTGACATGAGTGAAGTGCCCAGATGAGTGGCTCATGTTACTCTGGGATGTCTTCATACAGATGACAGATCTTGACAGTTCTAGCCTCTTCCCCCTATTCTGAGGTTGACTGATTAACTTCGGAGGTGTATACTAGCTTTGGGATTGAAGGTTGCCTGATAGGGTTGAAAGAGAAAATGCATAGGGAGAGATTAACTGGGGAAGTTATATGCATATATATGCATAGTCCATGGACACAGACAATAGTGTGGTGAAGGCCTGGGAGGAGGGGGTGCAGGGTGGAGGGGGTCAATGGGAAAAAAGCAAAGGAGACATCTGTAATACTTTCAACAATAAAGATAAATTTTAAAAAGAGAGAGAGAGAGAGAGAGAGAAAATGCATAATACATGCTTACAGATATCTGTGCCAGTGCCTAAAGCCTCAGAGACCAGCTGAGTTGGGTTGTAATGAAATGATGTCTTTTGTTTGTTGGCTTGTTTTTAAGTAGTCAATAGAGAACTGAAAACAGGAGATAAACAGGAAGGTGGGCAGAAGGTTTTCTCATCAGAAAAAAATGTGCTTTGGGAGAAAATAAATAGGTGCTAATAGTTAACAGCTTAAAAATTAAAAACAAGGAAAAGGAAAATTAAACCAATAATACTTTGGCTTCCATAAATTCTGTATCTGGGTAAATAAATGATAGCAGGCCAGGTCCCAGCCTTGAGTCACTGGATGAATACAGCAGTGGCCCTGCAGCCTGGCCTGTCCCATAGGACCCTGCTGGGCTGGCCTCTGGGTCTGTGGGGGGACGGTGAGGTCCAGAATGGCCCTGTGCAACTCCAAGCCATCAAGGTGACTGGGAAGTGTCACAAGGGCTCTCCTTCCTGTAGGTTCTCTAGTGGGTTGAGGTCCACCTTAGAGTGTGTTCCCACACTGCGGCTGTCCTTAGCACTCCACTGACTTCCCAGGGAAGATGGCCATCATAGTCATTTGGAAGACCCAGGGCCTGGACAGAGTCGGTTTGTTTTATTCTCGCAGGATGGTGATGTAGGCATGCTGACAGTGTTGTTATTTTATAGCCAAAGAACGTGAAGCCCAGAGAATGTTGGTGACTTGGCACAGGCCACTGGAAGCAGTGGAGGGGAGCTGTCAGGCCGGCTGCTTGCTGCCGCTCTGCAGCAGCATGGGGCCGTGTGAGGCCTGCCCTGTTTGGAAGGGGTACTCAGTCCTCTGCGTGCCTTTCACAGTTGCTCAGTGCTGGACTGTCCTTTCACACTTCCTTGTCCTCTGCCCTCCCAACAGCTCGAATGGATGTGAAACTGCTCTCAGAGCCCAGCTACGTCCCTTTCCTGTGTGGAGCTGTGTAAGGAATACGTCCTGTCACCCCTCAATTAGAAACATGTACATCACTCTGCTTCTCTGTGTACGGTGCTCAGGGCTACACAAATGAGGTTGGGATTGCCCATAATCTGGGGTGCGGTGAGAATGGTCAGGATTTAGTTCTCCCCTCTGATATTTAACATCATCTTAGAACAGAAGTATGTAAGGGCTGGTTATATCGAGTAAAACTTAAAAAAAAAAAAAAAAGAGGACAGACATGGAGCCTTCCCCAGATTTCCAAACATTCAGGATATGTATTTCCTAACTTGCTGAAGAGGCTTCCACAATCATTAGATCAAGTGATACCGAACACCCAACGTGGGCCGAGAATGACAGTTCTGTTGTGAGGAGAGGTGAAGGACTGACTGAACTTGCTAAAAAGCTCTTATGCTCAAGCAGTGGAGCCAGGACCAAGAGTCCATTCTTATTTTACACAGTTGTTTATCCAAACTGAAGTCTAGAGAACTATTGTTTTCCAAAGCTACATTCAGTGTGTTGCACTGGCCGTCTCAGGGCTGGTAACTTTACAAGCATGTAAAGCACAAATGATGGACTCTGACCCTGATTGTGCGACTCCCTGCCCAGGCGCCTTCCTGGCCCCATTGCCTGCGTTGCCAACCCCCAGCTCTTCCATAGACCTTGCGGGCCTCCTCCTCTGAGCCACATGTGTCTTTCCTATGTCCTCTTCCATTTCCAGGGTGTCAGCCACACGGGCACCATGTGCTCCCCACTCTCTAAGCCCTGCCCAGAAGCCCCCAGAACCCTCTCCTCCCCATCTTCCCCAGAAACCCACCTTACCAGTTTGACTTTTTCAGCTTCCTCCAGTTGAAGTTACCCTCCCCTGTGTTTTTCCAACATTTTCTCCTAGTCCACAGGATTGTCAGCTTCCTGAGGGCTGACACCATTCTCATTCATCTCTGATTTTGCTAATTCCTGTTAAAGACTTTTGCATTTATTAAACACTCAAACATCTTTCAGAAATACATTGGATGAAACCTAGTCCTTTTATGGCAAAGCAGTTGTGTAAGTGCGGAGTGTTTCAGGCCATTGGCTATGTGAGATGGGAGGTGGAGAAGGTTTTGCCAGGGAGAGGAGCTGTGTGAGGCTAGTTTGGGGAGGTTCCATTGTGAAAGGAGGCATGCCAGCTTCCTGTGCTGGACAGTTGAGGTAGCAGTGCTGATGGCTTCGTTTGGACCCACTAACTCTTGGGAGATGAGCAGGGAAGTAGGGATGAGGAAATAACAGACTCAGAAAAACTCCCGCAGGCCCAGTAGTCCTGGTGGTAAAGTTCCCCTTGTTGGTGACGTGTGCAGGTACAGGAAGCTGAGCCCACCTGAGTGGACAGGGGGCAGTTGTGAGAATGTAATAGGGGCTCTCATGGACCATCCACAGGGAGGAAACAGACTCACAGGCCTCATGCCATGTGGGGATGAGGAAGCTGGGAGCCACGGTTGGTCCATTGATGTCTCTCTGGGTTGGAGTTGTCCCCTGGGGGACTCTTTGGGTCTCTGTCCCACAATGTTGCTGTGTCTGCATCTCCCTGCATTCTCCCTCCTCTGCTGATCAGCCACTTCCCTTCACAGACAGTTACTCTTCCCAGGAATTTGGGCTCACAGTCAGTGACTTTTGTTCTCCTCTTGCTTCTACATCATGGTTTAACTCCAGAAGGGAGGTTGGACAAGGGAGTCTGAGCTTTATCCATTGTGGGTGAAGGGGCTATAGATGAGGGCAGTTTTCAGGCTGGGTGGGGGTGCTAACTATGTACCCTCAACCCTGTCCTCTTCACAGACAATCCTTTTAGGAGCTCTAAAGACTTGGCATTTCCCCTTTGCATCATTGACTCCACAGAGCTCATCTAAAGGCTAAACCACTCCTAAGTTTTCTCAATGAACAGGTTGTGATGCTGAAACTGCCTGAAG